GAAATATTAGAATATTTTTTATTTAAAAACCGGTGAGTTTTTCGGAAAAACTATTAAACACGTATATTTTATTTTGTTGTTTTACATATTTTAAGATTTTTAAAAAATGTATACAGGGTATTTCATAAAATATGACCATTGAGTAATCACGATTCTGCTTAAACTGCTTGACGTTTAGAGCTGATTTTTGGCAAACGGATTAACTGTGAGGTGTAGAGGTTCGATAAGGAGGGGTTTCTCGAATCTCAAATTCCAAGAGGGTGAAACCGCCCCTCAAATATTACAATATTTGTTATATAAAAAACGGTTAGTCTTTCGGGAAAACGCTTGGACACGCATAACTTACTTTGCTTTTTTACATATTTTGAATTTTTTAAAAAAATCATACAGGGTCTTCCAAAAAATTAGGTAATTTCTTAACCACGATTCTGCTTAAACTGCTTGACGAAAAAGCTTATTTTTGGCAAACGGATTTTTCGAAAGTCAAATTCCAACGAGATGAAACTACCCCTCAAATATTACCAAGTTATATAATAATATCGCCATATTGTTTTTTCTCATGCTGGCATAAATGTGAGAACATTTTATCCAGTTTGTACGTTAATGGAAATTCTTGCTTTGCTTTATCCTCACTATTACAAATGATTAATTCGACGTGGACGAAGTCGCGGGTTACACGCTAGTAATATACATATAAATAAAGTGTTTTTTTTTCAAAATTTCGGAGAAACGGTAAGGAATTTGAAAAAAAATCAATAAAAGCTGCCCCAAGCTTCTAACTACCTAATCTCAGTTAATTTTGATTTGAGCAAAACAAGTATAGACCATTTTTATGCAAAACTGGATGCTCTACAGCTTTTATTTGACTGTTTTTCCTAGTCCTTACCGTTTCTCCGAAATTTCGAAAAAAATCATTTTATTTATTTATTTCACCTCTTCTCTGCGGTGAATTAAAAAAAAATCTTTCACAATTCGTTTTTCGATCTTTCAAAAAGTAAAGTACCTTATATCAAAAATGCAAGTTTTTGCCAAAACTTCGTATTTGAAGGAGTATTTTTTTGACTAAATAAAACAAATTTTATATTATCTATCTATCTTCTTTCCAGGAATGATATTTTCTGATGATTTGATTTAATTCAAATAATATCCTGATATAGTAGAAGTTATTTAATTGGCGATGTTTAGTCTCAGTTAGTATAACTATCTTTAGTACCGCTTGTTTATTCGAACAACAACCCAAACAGGAACACAATATAAAAGTAATTGATCGATGGGTAAAACAATAATCGATAAACAATATGTTTACGAGGCAAACCTTCCAGGCAAGGTTAATTGGTTAGAGGAGTTTTCCTAAGCGAGATAAATTCAAGGGATATAATAAGACAGACGATGGCGATAATTAATAGCCTTAATTAATTTAATTTGCAATTAATTTCCCAGCTCTGCCAAAACACTGGTTTCTGGTCTAGCACTGTGAGTTAAGCGTCGTTCGATGGCATTAATCGGCATTTAAATGTTATTTGAAAAATCTATCTTCAAATTAGTAAAATTTATAATACGGCCCAGAAAAAATTATTTTTCAAAACTGACAACTCGTGTACTCGGCAATAGTGATGGGCATTACGATTCTTTTAATGAATCGAATCACACGATTCAATTTCTCATATTGAATCGACTCCTACCATTCGTTCATTTGAACAAACCACATGCACAATTTACGTTTCATAAAAACAAGAATCGTAACTGGCACTACCAGCGATAATTTGGTCGGACAATTACTTAAGGGACCAGAAAAAGAAATATACAGTTCTTTCATTTGTTTTTCAACACTTTCACACTGGCGAAATTGGATTGATTTTATTTTATCAATAATATTAAATAATCAATCCAATTCATATACCTATACTATTTGTTAAATACTTCTTAATACCAATTTCATATTTTTAGAGCCATATTTTAATTCCGATTTAATATTCATAATAAATAATATATAATACCGCATGATCGAAAAAAAAAATGGCGTCCAGTTGGCTTGGAAATGAACATCGATGACATTCCCTATCCCCATATAATTTTACATATAAAGGTGCGTATTCATTATCCGCACGAACGAACGAACGAACGAACGAATGTTCGCTAGTGGTATGGACGGGGACCGCACGATAGAACCGCACGAGAAGACCGCACGCATTTCTTCATTCGCGCGCCAGTTAAAATCGTCAAGATATTGTTATAAACCTGTTTTTTTTTGTTTATATACCGTCATTGAATTATCGCTAAGCAAGTTACTATGGAGCAGTGCATAAGGAGTCGGGCTAGGAAGCGAGAGACCGGAGTTCGAATCTCGGCCGGAACATCACTTTTTATTTTTTTTTAAATACTGTTGTATTCTATAGTTTATTTTTGTAGTATAAGAAAAAGAACTATTTATTCTGTTATTTTTTAATCTCCGTTATGTTATAAATTGATTGTTAGTACAATACCTCATTTAATATAAAATAATATTCTACTTTTTGAAATGTATCGGGCCCTAATTGTACCTAAAAGTAATATATTTTTAGTGATATACCATATTGTAAACTATTTAATATTTCAGTCGCTTAAAAAGTTAATTTGCATTGAATAATTGCCTACCATTAAAGGAAATTTGAGCTATATAATCCTTGATGGGCATATTCTGGGTATGCAAATACTTCCTTTAAATTTTGGGTGTCGTTCAACCGATTTATTCTCAAAACCAGAAACTTCTACATATAAAAAGAAGCAGAGGTCACTAATTATAATAAACTTCACCCTTGGTATTACTTCCACTAATTATAATAAACTTCACCCTTAGAATTACTTCTATCACAATTACAATACGTTCATCTGCATTGGCATTTTCTACTTTTCGATGGGAAACAATAAACTTCCCAATATTTTTTAAATGATGTAACAATTCCTCTTGTGGTTACTTTTCCATAGATATCCTCAACTCTGTCCTCATGTGAATTCAGAGGCAATGAAAATGAAAATTATTTACCATAAACATCGCAAACTAAAAACCTAATAAACAATTTTATACCGAATATAGAAATAAATTCAGTATTCTTACCTATCGTCCAAATCCATGTTAATAGATAATTATTATTTTTAAATATATTTTTGGAACTGCTGGTTTTAGTAATTATTAAATTAAACGAACTAAAAAGTCTTAAAATAAACAATTCTTAACCATAACCCCAAAAATTGCAGATCTCCTGTCAACTTTCTTTATTTTTTATTTATTCATTATTTTCCTAGTGACGTCACAGGTGGTATGCGCGAACTGAACGAAATTGGAGCCGCTATCGATCATACCTTGTATTCTTTGTACCATGACGTCTAAACGCCTTTGATGTACCGACTCGAAGCGGATGGTCGAGCGCACGAACGAACGAACGCCCGCATGCGTTCGGTCCCCGTCTAAATATACCGCACTTTCATTCGTTCGTTCGTTCGTTCGTTCGTTCGTTCGGATAATGAATACGCACCTTAAATCTGAAAGCGCACGCAGGCGAACGCCTTTGATGTACCGACTCGAAGCGGATGGTCGAGCGCACGACCGAACGACCGAACGAACGGCCGCATGCGTTCGGTCCCCGTCTAAATATACCGCACTTTCATTCGTTCGTTCGTTCGTTCGGATAATGAATACGCACCTTAAAATGACAGCGATCTTAATTTTATAACCATCGCTGATGCCGTTTTTTTTATCATATTGAGCAGAGGCCAACAATATTTATTTGGATTTGCATAATAACACGATTTCGTCTTTTAGTCCGACATTTAATGGTTTATAGTCGGTAATATTATTTTAACAAAAATATTAACGTTGATATTAAATACCTTAAGGATACTCCTGTACTAAACACAGTGTAAATAAGTTTTTTTTCTTGTGAATAACTTTCTTATCGTTTACATTTTATGCCCATGATGTTTGTTTAGGGCTTTTGTTCAAGTCTAAATATTGGTTCCTGACTCTGTGCCCATATCACCGCCGCGATTCAATTCTCACGATTCTTTTTTACGGCTCGTCGTTCAAATCTTATGGATCCGTGCTGACCACGATTCAATTGAACGAACCGTATTGTAAACAATGCATTAATTCTCACGATTTTTAGAAAAAACGATCGCATTGTGATCCGATTCAATTCTCACGACTCTTTTTTACGGTTCATCGTTTAAATCCATAATAATCCATAATGCGATCGATTTTTCAAAAAGTCGTGCTAGCTACGATTCAATTGAACTAACCATATTCTAAGCAGTGAATCGAATCACACGATTCATTTTTAATACTCGTTCAAATGAACGACTCATTCAATCTTTGCCCACCTCCACTCGGCAAATATTTTTATTGACATACAGGGTTCGGCGATAGGTCCTAGCGTAGCTCCTATAATAAATAACTTAGAAATTCTGTATAGATGCCCGACACGCTCTGTATACCCTCTATACCAATAACAAACAATGTTTATCAAGTACTGAGTCATCTGAGCACGCCATTAAGGCGGACTCTGACGACTCGTGTACTTAACAAACATTTGCTATTGGTATATACTTGCCATGTTGTGTGAACAGTTTCCTTGTGCAATTATTATTTGTCACTAGTCGCGTACCGTGATCGCCAAGTTTGTTGCAAAAAATGTTGTTAGCAAAGATAGTATGATTGCCAAGTAAGTAAATATTGTCGTACTTGCCAAATACACGAGTCGTCAGAATCCGCCTTTAAATTAAATATATTAAACTTTAGCAGTATGTTCTACTATTTTTAGGTAGAATTTTATCCGATAGTCTGGCAATAACGTTATAAAGATAATAATACATTAAGGTTCTCTGACGACTCGTGTACTTGGCAAGTACACCAATATTTGCGTATTTGGCAAGTATGTTATCTTTGTAAACAACTTCACATGATATTAACTCAGTGTTATTAAATATAACACTTTTTGAAATAAAGTTTTTCTTTTTAATTTCAGGTGTAACGATGTAATGGACAATTTATATATGACAGGTATGTGTAAGATGACCTTTATTACAACACAAAGTGTCTAATCTGAATATAAACAATGCACCGAAGGTACGTCATTTAATCCCAATAAATAGGTATAGCAGGTAAAACACTATGACATAATAAGCTCTACCTTCCATGCAATAGTACACCAGAATTTGATGTGCTATTGCTGAGATGCCTCATTTAGTTGTAAATTTCAATACAATAATAGTAAGCTAGAATAAGCTAGGCATTGTGAGGTGTTGTTTAATATGTCTTAAAATAGTTTAAATTTTAACCAAAGTGCCTTAAACACTTTGTATCTTAGATTAAGAATCTTTAAGTAAATTTATTGTGCAGAAATGCAGTTGTGGACTGTATTAATTTTAAATTTTAATTTGACTGGTCTTATTTTATCAATGTAAATTAAGTTAATAGCTGGGAGAAACCACACAGAGAAATGAGAAACCTGCTCCTACCTTTAATGATCGTCTCAGACAGCTTCAGAGGGCCCTCTTCTCGATCTTGATCTTCTCAGTGCTAATTTTCACACATACACTAACATGAATCGTCTTTGAAGGGATTTAAAGTTTTAAGTTCCGACTTTCGACGCGTACCGGTTAGCTGACCAATTTTCTCGTACGACGCCGACGGTTTGTAATAGAAAGTGTGCCACACTTCCTAGTGTTCGGGCATGCGTACACTAATGTTGCAGGAAGCAGGTATAAGTGCGGCAATTTAAAATTTAAAGAATTTAAAATGATTAATCTTAATCTAAGAAACTACATAAAAAGAAAATAATTTTATATAAAATATTAAGTTTCCTTAACATTCCACCCACCAAAACATATGTTTTTAAAAATAAAATAAAGTAAAAAATAATAATAATGCATTTCATTTACTTATCAAAGACATAGTGAGTTCTTCTTGCTTAATAAGAAAAATAGATAATCAATTTTTTTAAAAGTATTTATATTAGTTTTTGGATACTGAAATTTTAGACAATTTTTTTGCAAACAAATCAAGATATTTTGACCTTTTTATAAGATTTCTCCATTTTTCTTTAATCTTCGTTTTCCTTTTTTAATTATAGAATTGGCGTTTAAGGAATTTTAAGCTTAACTCTAACGTTAGACTTTAATATTTTTTGTGAGTCCTTTTGAGCAGATATTAAATATATTTTCTCCAGTTTTTAACACACTTTACTTTAATTTTTTTAATTTACTTTTTTTATTTAATTTAAGCAGATTATTTTTTTAATGATGATTAAAAATATTCTTAGCAGACTGTTTTCTTGTTTGAACGAATAATTTCTTAATATCATTTAATTATTGATAAAAATCATATTATACTTATACGTAAAACCATAGAATTCGTAAAACAATCTTATATCAAAGCAAGCTTTATTTAATGTTCCCCGCACTGACATACTTATTTTTTTCCTTTGTTCTAGCGAAATTAATAAAAATGTGAAAAAATAACCACACAAATTGGTTTCCATCTATCCATATATCGTCTAAAAATAACACTATTGTTAAGACATCAAATAATAGTATTGAAAAACCACATAATAGTAAAAATACCCACATCTATACGGTTATATGCATTTATATAAGGAATTTATAAACTATTACAGTCTCTACCAGAAAGATTTGAAAGTAAACACCATCAAAATACAGATGTATTAAAACTCGAAACTGTTTAGTTTTCCATTTGAGATTTTTAGTCGTTGTTTTCAATTCGTTCAATCTTTTTTACAAAATAGGCGGAAGAGGATATTTTTAAATGTTAAATATACCTATTTTTCTACTAAAGTTATAATTTTTGGATTATATATTGAATGATGTACTTTTTTTGCTTACTGGATGTGTCAAAAGATTGATATTTATCATTAGAAGTACAACTTAACAAGTATAGCTCGAGACGTGAGAAATATAAAATAACACGCGACCGGTGCCGCTGCTATCCCCAAGTCTCTTCCTATATTTGTACAACTGTAATGTACTTTTCAAAATTAATTATATTAAAATACGCTATATCGTATGGCGCATACAGAGTTTGTCAGAAATAGTTGATTTATTTTTTTCGCTATTTCAAATGTTAATACTCAATTTTATCTTCTATATTATCGATCCATAAAAAAGTTATGTTTATTTACTAATTTCCTGTTTCCCGATTGTTAAGGTGAACGCGCACAGAATCGACTTCGACCGGTCCACTTAACTAAGAGCAATCGGCAGTTTTAACGACTATCGTAGATATATGTATAGAGATAGGAGTACATTTTTATAGGAGATAGGAGAACATTTTTTAGTGGACGTCTATACTAGTGATGGGCATTACGATTCTTTTTAGTGAATCGAATCACAGGATTCAATTTCTCATATTGAATCGACTCCTACGATTTGTTCATTTGAGCAAACCACATGCACAATTTACGTATCATAAAAACAAGGATCGTAACTGGCACTACCGGCGATAATTTTGTAGGACGATTACTTAAGGGACCAGAAAAAGAAATATACAGTTCTTTCATTTGTTTTTCAACACTTTATGACACTGGATTGATTATCTTACGACTTTTTTTACGGTTCATCGTTCAAATCTTATGGGTCCGTGCTGGCCACTATTCAATTGAACGAACCGTATTGTAAGCAATGAATCAATTCTCACGACTCTTTGAACGCACGATCGCATCGTGATCCGATTCAATTTTCACGATTCTTTTTATCATTCAAATGTTCTGGATCCGTGCTGGCCACGATTCAGTTGAACAAACCGTATTGCAAGGAATGAATTGAATCTCACGGTTCATTTTTAATACTCGTTCAAATGAATGAACGACTCGTTCAACTTTTGCCCGCCTCTAGATACTTACGATGGTCGCAGTCGCCATTGCTGACCGAGCCGGAGTCGATTCAGTGCGCGGGGTAACATGTATTTTCATGTAAAGTGAAAACTGCCGATATCTCTTAGGTGGACCGGCCGAAGTTGATTCGCTGTGCATCCTCCTATATTTTCACGTGTATCAGCAAAATAAATCGAGTTTAATAATTTGTCAGGTCAATAATATATTGTGAAACTACTTAATAACTTTTTTTTCAATTTTTTAATACCAAGCAATACAGCCTAATTTAGGGTAATTTGTTTTAAATAGATTCCAATTATTACATATATTATAAAATGTTTAAAACTGCAAACAGATATAAATTTTCAATTTTATAATTTTGGAAGAACGTTCAATATGTACAAAATTTAGTATGAAGATACTTATATTTCTAAACAACATTTGGTCTATATTATGGCATTATGGTATTTATTGAACAGGAATTTTATAGCAAAACACGGAAAAAGATAGGGCATTCACAAGAGAACTACAATTTTTGTATATAAATATACCTAAATTATTCATCTGTATGGTTTTATAAAATGTATATGTTATAAAAGTTAAATATGAAATACTCTTTAAAGTTTTTGGAAAAATATTCGAATATGAGCTAAAGTTAAGTTTTATTATTATCACCGGCTATTATTCTAAAAATATATAATCATAACTATACAAATTATTTTCTATTTATCTGTGGTACGTCATTAAGTTGAAACAAGTCGACGAGATTAGAAAAAAAAAACAAATTATTTAATTATCCTTTCTATTTTATTGTTTGTTTTTGCAATATACTTTAAAAGTACAATCGTTTTGTTAAGATATACATAAATCATATACTTAGCTATACCATATTTTTATTATATTTTGGATACTAAATTAGTACTTGATGATTTAGGTAGGTATGCATGCTATTTTTGACATATTTTTATTTTTGTGGCAACTTCATTTTCAGTAGTGATGACTCAGTAGACTTTCAGTAGTCTTACTAATCTCGGTTTTGGTCTTGCGGTCTTTGTCTTGGCCTTGCATAAAAAAACAAGACTGAAACCAAGACTAACGTTTGATCTGCAAGACCAAGACCAAGCATGCAACAAGAGTCTTACGGTTTTGCATTTTTTACGTGTATATTGACATAAGAAATTATATATTTGTTCAAAATTATTGTTTAAATTTATTACAAATAATGTTTTCCCGACTTTTGCATAAAATTTTAAAGAAAGAAATGCTGATTCAATATAATATACCGGGTGCGTCTCAAAAGTGGCTTACCCCTATAACTTTTATATTTTTTCAGTTAAAAAAACGAGATTTGGTATGTTAGTATATGACATAAATTAGGATTGATTGACGTATTTAATTGTTTTCGGTCACTTCTCGATATTTTTTTACTTTTTTCGATAGAAAATGACATTATGAATAGAATGACATATCATATGTCAACTTTTGACATTATATAAAACAGGTGAAACAGGAAGTGACCGAAAACAATTGAATACGTCAATCAATCCTAATTTATGTCATATACGAACATACCAAATCTTTTTTTTTAACTGAAAAAATAAAAAAGTAATAGAGGTGAGCCACTTTTGAGACGCACGGTATAGAAAAATAAAAATTCGTCAGAATTTTTTTTATGTTTTATTTGCATATATTAGGTACTAAAGATACCGTATATTTAAAGATTTTCTATAGAAAGTGCTTCTAGAAAAATATATCAAAAAATGCAAGATTTACAAGAATTCTTGGTCTTGCAGATTGAACACTGCATGTCTAAGATCAAGACTTTTTATTAACTGCTAGACCAAAAACAAGACAGAATTTCAGAATTCTTATTTTTATAATGCAATTTTTATAGTAAAAGCATTTTGATTTACAATATTTCCATATTTCTAAACTAATATAGATACTACTTCTATTTTTGATATTTTGTCATTAATATGGCATTGAAGTCAATGCTGTTTTATGTTTACCTATCTGATTAAGCTATACTATTTATATAAATAATATTTGTAGTAAGGTGTGTTTTTAAAATGTATTTACGCATGTTAAATTAGATTTTAGCAGTACCTATACTAAATCAATAAAACAAGTACTGATATATTTGCTTACAGTTTGATTTAAAAGTTGTTTGTTT